CATTCCTCCTCTTCATAGAACTTCACTTATAACACACAAATTGAAGGTTAAAAGATGGCAACTGCAGCATATTCAAAGCTTGAGGTCCTTCTAAGCATGGAGCCCAGTCCTACACAAGTCACACACACCCATGAAGCCAGCCCTGACTGATTTATCCAACATCTTGTCATCTTGCACCGGATAAGAAGGAAAGTTTTCATACTGGTGTGCAAGGTCCTATGCGATCTGATTCCCGGGGCAACCAGTTTCCCTCTGACCCTAGTTCCTACCATTTAATCTCTCCTTCCTTCTGCTCCAGCTACCCTGTATGCTTTCTCAAATACACCCGGGGCTTTGCACGGATGTGCTCTTCCTTCTTCTGTGATGCTCTTCTTCACGTAGCCAGAGGGCTTGTTCCATTTTCTTCAAGTCTTCACTTCCAATCTTCCTCCGTGTGACCCTTTACCGCCAGCGTAGTCATCTTCATTTGAGTAGAGACCCCCTCTTCCCCTTACTTACACACTTTGTTCTGGCCAAGAGAAAGAGGCCTGATTCTTTTGCCTGTCTACCAAAGGCTGCTACTCAATTTTTCCATTCAAGGTTCTACCTTGCTCTGTGGCTAACCTGGGGAACAGGATAACCTCCCCGTTCTGCAGAGAGCTCACACACTTCCCACTAGGCTCTTAGCTTATCCAGCCGGCTCCAACACAGAAGCAGCATCCTAATATGCGCTAAATGTTAACATGTGCCCAAAAGATTCACATCCGGTGAGTTTAGAGGAGGGAAAGCAGAGTTTGTTAGGGTTCATCTAGGGTTGTTTTTATTTTCTTATAATCCAAGTTTAAGGAGGAAATATATGGACTCAGGAGAAGTAGGTAGTACAAAAAAGTCAATATTAAATATTTTGTGTCACTTGATTTGACCCTGAAAGGGTGGAGGTGAAATAAAGGATTAAGGATTCTACTTGTGGTGTGTTGTGGACTGAATCTCTGTGTCCTCCTAATCTATGGTTTTTGTTATAGCAATTATGTTGTACCCGATGTTTTTCCGAAACAATTGCCATATTAAGACCTCATGACATGTTTGTGAAAGAATCCAAACAGAGAGGGAGAGTCAAATAAGACTTCAAGATTTAAAAAACTCAAAACACAATTCCTGTGAGATAAGTTAATTTCCCCCCAAAGCTGTAGAGCTGAAATTCTCAACCTGTGGGTTGCAACTCCTTTGTGGGTTGAACGACCCTTTCACAGGAGTCACCTAAATACATCCTGCATATCAGATATTTGCATTACGATTCATAACAGTAGCAAAATTACAGTTATGAAGTAGCAACAAAAATAATTTTATGGTTGGGGGTCACCACAACATGAGGAACTGTATTAAAGGGTCGAGGTATTAGGAAGGTTGAGAACCACTGCTGTAGAGAATCTTAAAGCATCTTACATAACAAAAGGTTAACATGCAAATTACCCCTCTACCGGGAGTTCAACCAGGGTGCAGGCCAACTGGCCAACCGCCCAAGGCCCCTCCCCCTGGCCGGCCCAGCCAAATCACCCTGATCCGGGTGGGCTGGCCAGACCCACCCATGCACAAATTTGTGCATTAGGCCTCTAGTTTAAAATAAAAGAGTGACATGACTATTTTTTATTTTAGGCTGACCATTCTTGTAGCAGAGTGGAGAATTATAGGGAAATCTTATATTAATCTCTATAATTTTTTATATTCTATCAATCCTCCAAGTATATGAAATTGGAATTTTAGGGAGATATAGGCAGTTTTAGGGAATTTTTAGAATTGGGGGTCCATAAAAAAAACACACAGGCTACAGACTGGGAAAAGTTACATTTCCAAAACACAAGGTAGCCAGGCACACAAGACAAGGGAGACTGGGAGAAGTTACATTTCCATAAGACAAGAAAGCAGCAACAGTTACATTTGCATAAGATAAGGGAACTGGGAGTAACAAAAGGTCTATATTTACAAAATAAAGAAGGAGGAAGAAAGCCCAGAAGGCATAGAAGAACAATGAGGGAAGTGGGCATCACTTGTCCCATGTGATGTTTGACCTTTGAACTCAGGAGTTACTATAGTAACCAATTCAAAAGGGAATATTGACCAATCAGAGGGGATATCAGGACACAGGCACTGCAGTCTTTATAAACTAGGGAAACCGGAAATCCATGGGAGTCTGTGCTGTGAGATTCTTTCCCCTTCCCCACGTGGGGGTCTGTACTTACTCTTCAATAAATTTCCACCTTTGCTATACCATCTTCAGTCCATGGATCATTCTTCGACTCAGATGAACAAAGAATCTGGGGAATACTAGGTGTTCCAGTCCAAAAATCACGTATCATATACACTCTATACTCAGAGCCTAACACAATCTCTGGCATATTAACAGGTATTTGATAAATATTCTGGAAAAACATTTCTCAGATGAATAATCTGCACCTCTTCTGAGAACAATTAGAACTATAACAGTGGCTTTCGAAGGGCTAAAGCTCCCAAAACAGAGACTTCTGAAATGAAAACAAAACAAAAAAACAACAACAACAAAACAACACTAATAGCCATTAAACAAAATTTAGAGTAATATAAGAAATTTAAAGTTTGGAAGTAATTAGGGAAGGAATAGATGAATGCTAAGGGATACAAGTGCCAAAAACAATCATTAGTGGAATTTGGAGGGTTGAATTACCCCAATTAATTTAATTTCCAAATTGGTATAGCAACACAAGCAGAGTAAAACAAAATAAAATAGGGTGCAATTTAGGGTCTAAAATAAAGTGTCTACCAAAGGTTCCTACTCAATTCTGGGAACACAGGTTATGATTTGATGTAGAAAAAGAGGGAGCCCTGGGTTTCTTTCTGTATTTCATAATAGCCATCAACAGCTAAGTGTGTTTTATTTCTGAAGTATATTAGTGAGTTATTTAGGTCTTAAAATGCATTTTTCTGTAAGAAAAGAAAACGTCCAATGGTGATTAAGTCCCAAAGTCAGTCAGTTAAAACCTGTTTAACCCTGACATAATTGGAATGTTCATTTGCAATAAAAAGCAGAATACACATCACTTCCATATGAGTACTTAGAAAAATTTTAAAATTACTACAGTATTGAATAAGAAAGAGTTTTATTTATATTAGATGCTGGTACTTGAGAGGGAAGTAGGGGAATTTAAAAGCATTCGAACCCCTTCAGAAGAAGGAGCTTAATTTCTCCCCTAACCCTATACCTTGAGTGTGACCTGCACTTTAATAACTCACTGCTGAAGAATAGAGTTTGAGGAGGGAGGGGGAGTAAAAGAATGTTCCAGTGGAGAAACTGGAAAACATTTCCTTGGCTGGGTAATGTAGTCAACGTTGACTGTGATAAATCACGTTGATAGCAGGTATCCCTAAAAAAAAAAAAAATGGGATGAAGACAATTTTCTGTGATCTCCCCCTGTACCCCCCAAAATACCACCTACGACCCTAGTCTCAAGTACCAGGAGTGGTCTGAATTTTTAAAATCGATCACTTCATTAATTCAATAAATACTGATTGCACACTTCCTAGCGTCTGAAACTATGATCTAGGTAGCTGCCCACAGGAAGTAAGCATAGTGATGCCTTAAGTGAGCCTGGACTTAGACATCCAACTGGCCACAATTTCATCCTGGACTGGAATGCTTACCTTTGGAAAAGTGGTCTCTTTGAACAGCATTCTCTGAGCTTCACTCTTCTCAACTAGAACTATATTTGAGATATTTTTCTTTTCTGTGATGGCTGTGAAAATGCTTTTAAAATTAGAGACCATGTCAACAATATGGACAGTAAGTTGATATATATATATTATACAGTAATCCTGGCACCTGGAAGATGAGCAGAAAAAGTAGAGAAGATATGAATTATTTTTTTTCAAAAGCTTTTAGCCCCGTCCAGACAAACAGGTACAAATAGTAGTAATATAGTATGAGAACATATTAGCAATATGTATAAAAGATAGAATAAGAACTCAGGGTCAAGTATAATAAAACCATTGGAATCCTTTGCAGGGAGATAATGTTGGGTGAGGGTTCCTAAAGAATTAGCAGAGCAAGTAGAATTTCTAAGAATAAAGAGGCATAAAAGATATAGCATATTTACTAAACTATCTAAAATTAAAGTTCACAAAAAGGTAAAGACAACTTTCGAAACCATGAATCTAAGTGGAGTATACTCAACATGGTTAGTGAAAAAATAAGTCCACTGAAATCTTTTAAAAAAATCGTGTTGTTTATCTTAAACTCATACCTACCTCTAACCCTAATTCTAACTTTACCTCAACTCTTTCTTCCTAATTCCAAAACTAATCTTAACACAATTAATTATAAACCTAATACTAACACTAACCCTAAACATAACCCAAACTTACCCTGACCCTAGCCCCTAATCCTAACCCTACACTAACCTAAAATATAACCCTAATTTGAGCCATCACCAAAATCTTGTGTTGTAACATAAAAGTTTCTGGTATTGACATGGGCAAATTCTTCCCTCAACACTTGACCCCCCTACCTTTAATCCTCCTCTAGATTGGCTCCCTGGGCTTTAAAGAATCACAGAGAGCAGACCCTTAAGTGCCTAGAGACTGGTGCTCACCTCTCATCTCCTCCGCATGAATCTTCTGGCAGCAGGAGGGCCCTTTGAAGTGTGAGGGAGAACTGAGCTGGGCCTCCATCCAGAGGCTGCTGAACTCTTCTTCCTAATTAAGCTCCCAGGTTCCTTGAGGAAGAGTATGATAGCAAATTGAGGTGATTCACACATGCTTATACTTCAGAAAATATGAAAGCAGGGAAGGCAGTGGAAATGGAAATTCCCTCGTTTGTCTAATGAAACTGGAGGTAATTGGAAAAACCCAGTGGCTTTACATTTCAACTTTGCTTCTTCATAATTCAGATATAGATTTAAAGTGTTTTTAATTATTCTGATAAAAAAGATATGACTAAACAAAAATTAAAATGACTAATGATGGAATAATTCTCTTTTCTCTCATATTTTCTCTCATATGGCACTTAAAAAGAAAAAAAAGCAAAGCAAAGAAAAACACCCAGCAACACTCAGCCAGAATTATAATAGATATTTAATGTTTTAGTGCTTCTGCTGCTTCCAAAATGTATGTAATAGGTAAACTGTGGAAACATAATAAACCACTTGTCAGGAAGAATAAAAATATGATAGTCTTTTACCTAAACAATCTCAGGAGAATTTGAATTCAATTGAACTAAATTAAATCATGACACAATTTTTAAGGTGATAATAAACAGACATTAGTAAAGCATCCACCAAAATATATAGACGTTATTTTGAACAATGGGAAAATCTTAAGGAATTGTATAAATACATTAAAAATGTACAGAGGATGAGTGTGAATAAATTAAATACCATAAAAGGCCTAGCAAAATAATTTCTCTACTCAAAAGCAGTTTTTATTTTCTAAATTTACAAAGGTTACATCTGATTGTCTGCTACACATAGGAAAAAGAATAGAGAGAATTGTGAAAGAATTTTCAGAAGGCAAATTCAAATGAGAAATTTGGTTCGCTTAAACTTGCAAGGGATACATAGTGAATATTGTGTGAACTGCCCACCCATAATAGCTTCCCCAAGAATTTGAAATTCCCTGGAGTTAATTACTGAGTAGATGTCACATCATGTATTCAACACAAAAAAATGTTATTTAATAGACAAGTTATAACCAAAATTGGCATGTGCTTCATTCACAGAGACTCTCATTCTGATTGAGCCCTGGGTATCATTAAGTCCAAGGACACTGAGGTCAGTTGGACTTTGTTCTTTGCTTTCAAAACTTGGAGGAAGTAGACTGGGTTCTCTGAATCAAGAAAATGGGGTGTCTACCGCTTTTTTCATAGGTGATAGTTCTGGTCCAAAAGGTACTTCACGGTGAAAAAGAGGATCTGGCCAGGGTCGGGGTGAGGAAAGTCAAGACTTGTTACTGCTATGGTTTTAGTGTCAACAGAGGGAAGAGAGACATAGCTTTAGACTCCTGAATCTTGTGTTGCACTTGAATCTTGAAAATAATCTTGTTGATAATAAAAATTAGTTGAAGCCCTGAAGCTGGCTGGTAGACCAAAGTGTTGTTGCCCAGTCATCAGTGCGGATAGTTATGCTTCCAACGGTGTTGAAAACATCAGTATAAAGACCTATAAGAGATGAGGAATGTGGAAAAGGACAGATGATCTCCACTCAGAAACACTGGATCAATAACCATGCAGCTAGCTGCTAATCAGAGCTCCCTGGGGTATCAGGGTAGAACTTCCTACTCTTGGCCACCCACAAAGGGCATGGCAAATCTTAAAATGGGATCTGTCTATGGTTGTGCTTTTCAAAGATGTACATAAGTCAGGTAAAACCAATGAGTGAAATAAACTTGTATTTTTAAGGCTTTAAAAACAAAAATTGAGGTGCATAACTTAGCTTGTTGTCCTGACAACACATTGTAAGAAATCATTGAAGTTTCCCACACCATAGAATTTTATTGACATAAGTTCACCATAAAGAAACCTTGTGTAGTGTTCATTTTTTGTTATAGTAATAAAAACTGTTACATGTCCAAAATGAATATATTCAAATATATATTGTTGGAAAAGACTCAAATGAACAAAATTCAATACCTTGTGGCATCCTACCCATCATCTAAATATGATAAACAACAATGTTAGCAACTTTCTTGCAGAGAAATGGTTAAATGATAGGATCAAAGTTGTTAGATTAACTCAATAAATACTTGCCATTCCAAAAATACTTTTTTTCCTCTACAGATCTTTTTACCCTAATAAATTTTAAAATCTCCTGACAAATGGTTTCCTGAATAGATGACATCTTAGAGTGATTTATTTACTAATAATGCCTCATAGTTAAATATATACAGACATATGTGAGCATCTATATACCTACCTGCTTATTCAGAGTCAGATATATTAAATATTTATATGAAGTGAAGAAAGTGTAAGTGCAGAAAGAGAAGGGGCCTTTTTCTTTGTTAAAAATGGATAACCCATTCTTCTACATGTGCCTCTTCTTTTCTTTTCAAATAAATCATTTCTAGTTATTCATTCAGTTGATGTCCCCAACATTCTACTAGTATTCATATAAACAACTTGGAAAATACTCTCCTTCTTAATGGCCTGGAACTATAATCTCCAAGGAATATCTCTAAAATTAGAGATGGAAGTTGCCACCCTCACTCCTTGATCGAAATAAAAACAATATATCAGAATGTGTTTTAAGGTCAAAATACAGCTATTCTGCATGTTGTAGAACCATAATAGATGAACACACTGATTAGACAAACAGGTGTAGTAAAGGCCAGTTCCTTTGCCCCAAGAAACAATATAGTTACTAAAGGAATGCATCTTTATCCATAATGGAAACTAAGATTAGTCAGGGTTTATTTACACATGAAAATTAAATATGGTAAGAAGAGAATTAACATTACATACAATGTATGAAAGCATCGTAATGCGGCCAAGCACACAGCTAGTCACAACAAAGTGGTTTATGTAATGAGTACTGATACTAAGTAATGAGACTATACTCCTAGGATCAGAGATAAGATATGTACCAGGCCCGACAGAAATTATATTTCTGAAGAACTAATAGTGTGCCATTATTTGTCTATTTCCTCTGAGGAACCACTTGAATTATAACTTATTAGGACACACACAAAAAAGGAGAGGCACTTCCAGGAAGAACTGGTGACTTTCTGTTGGGAAAAAGGATACAGCTACAGAAGATGGTCCAGTCAGTAATGATTCCTGAGTGTGCAATGCACAAAAAGCTTTCATCTTAACTCTTAAATTAGTGTTATCACACATAAACTTTGCATTAAGCAAATGACTCCTGTGAATACAGAACAAATCAGGACAAACATTTGGTCTACAGGGAAAAATCAAGAGAACTTGGGTAATATCAGGATCTGGGTCTGATATTGGAAAGTTCCCATGTGTATGTAGAACACTGCAGGTATATTTTTCTAGTCAATTTTCTGAAACCTCTACAATTCTTATTTCTGATCATAGCAAGAAGCAGATGCCAAATCTTATGAGAAAGGCTGTTCACAGGGTATTTCTAGCCTGTCTGAAAATAGGAAGTGCTAGAAATTTCATAGGAAAGTCAGTTCTTGCTAGCTTTCAGATTCAATTTCTGCAGACCAAAGTGATCTGGATAATTAAAACCTGAGAAAAACAATAATATCATAATTATTTTTAAAAATGGTAATAATCAAAGTGAGGGAGCAGTAAAACATAATGAAATGCCACTAGAAAGTAGGTCAGAAAACCAGAAATTTCTTTCTAATCCTTAAATTTACTGTGAGATCTGGGACAAATTATTTAACTTCCTTTCATCTCAAATTTGTAATCTTTAAGATGAGAAGGTTATGCTAAATCAGTAGTTCATATATTTAACTGCCTAATAGTTTCTTCAAAATAAATATTCTGTGGATGTTAAATAGCAAAATCATAAAAATGGAGATGCTATTTTTGAAGAGGGTGGTTGTCACATAGCACGTGTTCAATGAACACTTGTTGAATGATAGACTCTCAAACTCTGTAAGAGACAGCTGAAGAACTCCACAGTGTATTTGCCTAAATTATTTTTAAAAATTTGAATGAAGACTAAAGACCTTTTTTGACATAGAAAGATCCAAAGAGAGCTTTAGGAAAACTGCAACTAAAATGAAATAGATGTATGACTCTTCCTTAGATATCTGGGAGGTTGCATTCATTAGCATGCTTTGGTTGCCAAAAGCAGAAAGCATGATGCAAGCTGGTATGAGCAAACCTGGTAATATATTGATTAATGTAATAAATCATGGTAGAGCCCTGGCCGGTGTGATTCAGTAGTTAGAGTGTTGGCCCACACACTGAAGGGTTGTGGATTTGGTTCCCGGTCAAGGGTATGTACCTGAGTTGCAGGTTCGATCCCCAGCCTCAGTCAAGGTGTGTGTGGTGGTAACCAATTGATGTGTCTCTGTCACATTGATGTTTCTCTCTCTCTTCTCTCTCTCTCTCTCTCTCTCTCTCTCTCTCTCTCTCTCTCTCCCTCCCTCCCTCCCTTCCTCCCTCTATTCCACTCTCTCTAAAAATCAATGGAAAAATACCCTGGGGTAAGGATTAAAACAACAATAAAATCATAACAGACCTAGCTTCAGGAGAGGCTTGATCCAGAGGTACCAGGTTGCTAAGCTCAGGCTGTCTTTGAAGTTCTCTCAGCATTGGCTTCCTCTCTGTGTGCTCATGATCTCCAGGCCCACTCCCCTCCTGATAGTATCGAAGCTGCAGCAGTTCAGACCTTAAACCCATAGCATGCTATGCAGAGAAAGAAACTCTCTCTTTTCTGATAGCTCCCCCAAAGGAAAGAGGCTGCTTCTTTTCCAGAGGCCCCTCAGTGAGCATCGCAGTCTCATTGGCCCAAATTGCAACACGTGTTCATCCATAACCAATCCTGGATGAATGGAGCATGATTGAGCCAGCCAACGCTGACTTCTTCCCTGGGGCAGGAGGGCAATCCTATTCAAATGACACAGCTGAGAATTTATGGAAAGAAGAGGAGGAGAGGCCTCCCAACAAATGTCCAGTTCAGCTATTAACATTATTTAATTTAAACCATTGCTCTATTTATCTATATAGATATAGTAAAGAATTTTTGAAGAAAAAAAAGTGTGTGCACATATGGTCGTTACTCATCTCATCTTATTAGAAGCTACATGGATAGCTTCTAGGTATAAGGACAAAGTCTTAGATAAAAAAGTTAAGTATGCGCTAGCTTGAGTTTATCGAAAATACACACAGACAACAAACTCACAGCATGACTCTCCATTTGTTCTTTACTTACACATCAGTCTAGTAAAGTACTTAATATTGTCCATGAATGGATTACATATTAAAGAGCTTTAAACTCTACCATGTTATTAATGTGTTGTTTTGACATTCTTCATAAATAATTATGATACCCTTATAATTCACATGAAGAATCTGGGAACTAAAATGAGAATTTACTTGAAAAAAGAGAAGCACGCGGAGAATAAGTGTGGACAAAATAAAAGCAGATTTGCTGGTAGAGCTTCATAACAAGGAAGCATCATACTCCATTAATCATCTGTGTGAAGGAGGAAAAAATCCAAACGTGCTTGCCTTGGGTATTGCCCAATGAATTCAAGAGGCAGTTAGCAAATATGCTCACTAATTGCAAGAATGAATCCCCACTTCACCTGAAACCCAACCATCCTGCTCATGCCCTGAAGATGAACTAAATTGCTATTTCTGGTATTCATCCTACACACCAGGAAGAAAATCATTGCCTGCTGTCTATGACTTTCTCCAAGCCACACAGGCAATAGATACCCTCTGAAAACCCACTTTTTGCTCCCAGCTGTATTAGCGGTCATGAGAAGAGAAGGAAACGATTTAGGATTCTTGTGGAGACCTTTTAAATTTTATTTTATTTTATACAAATATTTGTTTGGTCTAAAATTCTACAGCAGGCATAAATATCTGGCTCTTTGCAGATATCAGTTGGCTTGTGAATGGCAGGTACTAACTGAGGAATAATGAAAATAACTGTTAAAAATGCAGGGGAAATATACACTTTCTTTGAAATGTAGGTCAGAATAGTGAGAAAGGAAGCTGAGGTTTGAACTGCATGGCTGCAGAATGGCCTATGTACATGCAAAAGCATTCTGCCAAGAACAGGGAAAGGGGCCCCTAGCGAAGAACGTTAGGGTCCCTGGAGGAGCCAAGGTGCTCACAAGGGTTGAGTACACTAGGGCTGAAGCAGTGGGCCTGATGAAGTTCCCACAACAATCCAATCTCATTCCATTCATTTTTGTAATTGATATCAAGGGGTAAGGGAGAGGGAGAGAGAGGTGGAAACATCAATGATGAGAGAGAATCATTGATTGGCTGCCTCCTGCACGTCCCTACTGGGGATCCAGCCAGGATCTTGGGCATATGTCCTGGCCAGAATTGAACCATGACCTCATGGTTCATAGGTCAACTCTCAACTACTGAGCAACACTGGCTGGCTCCATTTTTATGTATGTTGGCGTTCTGACTTGCGAGGAAATTTAAAGCTTTGCTAAGGCTTGTTAAGAGTCAACCTAGCCAAAACCGGTTTGCCTCAGTGGATAGAGCGTTGGCCT